GAATGCCCTGCAGCATTACGCCCTGAGGAAGGATGCAGAATGGCGACCGAAATGTTGGCACCTTCGCCATGGACGCGGCGTCACCTGGACAGCCTAGTAAATATCATATTACATAATTGATCATATGCTGATGCTGATTGCCTTTCTGCTACAGGGTTCTAGAATTGAAAATATTTGGAAATTGACATGAATACTTGTCTAAAATGGATAAATCATAAACCATGAAAAAGTTGAGAGATATTTCTGTCTTCTACAAAATGAGAAAATTGTTGAACTCTTAAATAGCTATCAACTATTTACTTTGCCTTGTTTTGGTTGGTAACCACATATGGTATATTACTTTGGGGTGGACCTTATGAAAAGATAATTCATCCGTTAGCTGTTTGAAGGGTGGTGGTAACTTTTATTGACCGCTTCTTTAAAAATTTCTCCTGCATTTAGGCAGTGGTTACCTCACGTAAATAGTTCATCTGTGATCCGTTAAATATCATTGTCATTTACTTTTCTTGCCACCAAGCGTTTAGCACCGATTATGAAGACTTTCATATAATTTCTTGCTCTGTGATATTGTAGTGAATCATATTGCGATACTTTTAGAGGTTCTAATGAGATTTGGAATTATAACATATCACTTTTATGGTTGAGTGAGATTTTCAATGTGCTATATTTTCAGTTTTTGAGATAGTTGTATTATTTATTTATTTATTTATTTATTTATTTTATTTTTAATTTTTGTTTGGTGGTGATTTAAATCTGGTGGTTAGTGTAAAAAAACACTGCTTTTATAATACAGTGACATGCTTACGATCCTTGTGAAGTGAAGCGAGTCAGTTTATGGTATTTCTAGCACTTTTTCTTTTTTTAATACTCTTTCACTGATTCATGCAACTCGTCGTTCTATCTGTCACAGATTTGTCCTTACAGCACAAAACAAAGCCAGTTTGAACAGTATGGGCATTCAATCCATGCAAATTAGCACTTTAAATATAAAATGTTTTCAGTGAATATTGCAGACATTATTGTTTGTTATATTCACAGGAACAATTCTTCATGTTTCGGAAGTGGAATATTTAAAATTTTGTTTGATGCACACCTTAAACAGGAACGTAGAACTCTATGAAACCGATATCTCATTTTGTTAGAAAATTGGACGCTTAAGTCTGTTTGACCTACCTATCAGGAGAAAGAGATATGCATCAGAATAAAGAGTTTTCAATATATTCTTAATATTTTAGAAAAACAACCTGGATCTCAGCCATTGATATGTTACTGCCTTATTTAATCCAAAGTATCTATGCAAGGGCCTGGGTGTGTGCTGACCACCAGAAATTGTAATGCTTTTAATCTTACAATAAAACAAAAAATATTTCCATGTATTATAATCTTAAAAATAATTTTTCATAAAAATAATAATTATTCATAAGAAAAATTATCTGCAGAAAATAACATTATGAGCTTGAGAAAATATTTTCTGGAGAAATCTTGTAACAGACACGTTACGAAATACTAATGTAAAAACCTTTCATATATGATGTATATATTTCATTATAGGCAAACTTGTCCTGATCCAAGTATTTGGTATATTGTAAATATGAGAGATTTGAACATTTCTAAAATAAAATATAAATAGTTGAATGTAAGTAAATGATAGTATAGTATATAGTAAATGATAATATGTTTAAAAATACACAATAAATTATGAATTATTTAGATTTATTATGAAACTATTAATTCTTCAATGAGAGAATATCCATCTACAAAATACTTACCAATTAATACAACCATAATACATAATTTAATATAATGCTGATTAATAGGGAGATGATTTTTATGCCTTATAAAACTTGAAATATGGTTTTACAAATATGCATTTATGACCTAAAAATTCTGAAATATGCACTTATATATGCAATTAAAATTAACAATATTCCATTTCCTGAATAAACCTTTTTTGATAAAATTCTTGGGAAGCATGCTTGGAATGAAAAGATAAACTTTTGTTCAAACATAATATAACTTAGCTTACTTCGTGGGAGAAATAATGGATGTAAATATGCACCTTAGTACCACCACGTACCTTGTACACACCACGTACCTTGTGTACGTCTTGTTTCATTTTTTCTGTTTGGTTTAAAAAATATGATATCAAGAAATATCCTACGTTGGTACAAGTGTTTTATCATCTATAGAAAAAATAACTCAAACTGACAAGTTTTTTCTAATCAATTAATGCACATAAATAAATAGTCTGTGAAAACATGAAACGTTCAGTAGAGGTCTCTATTTTAACAAAATATGCAACATATGCCCCTATAATTACAAACAGACCAAACTAATTTCTGAAAAAATCAAAAGAAAGAATCAAATTGTCATGTATGTCACCTTATCCAGCAGAATATCTGCATAAAAAGTTAAATGGGAAAATTTGATGCAGCTTTCGAGAAAATCTTGTTTTTAATATTTCTCGTATTTCTGTCAAACAGGAAAATTACTAATATTTTCAAAAAAATGTTCATGACATTAATGAAAGAAATAATTAGAAAACAAATTTCATTTGAATATAAAAAGTCTTTATCTTTCATGATGGAGTTATATGAGGAGTTCCAAAATATTTCAAACTTGTGAAACTATTTTTAAAATTCAGAGTTAATGATGAAAATTGTGCCTATGCCACCTTTATTATTGCATTTTACCCTATTCTTACTAGCAATTTAAAGAAACAATATGGAAACCTTTTTAAGAAGATTTTGAAAAGGTCCCACTGTCTTCATTTTATCGTCAATTTAAATAATTTTTGTTTGAAACCAGAGGTTTGAGTCCAACCAAACCAGAGGTTTGAGCAAGAACATCACTATTTCACAGGACTATTAACTTTGGCATAGCACTTATGAATAGTTAGGTGCTAGTGTTGTTCAGTATGTGAAGTTATTCCTTCTGAAAAGAAAGAAAGAAAGGAAGGAAGGAAGGAAGAAGAAGAGGAAAAATACAAGCAAAACAACAACAAAAAAACAGAACAAAAAAGTTTTTCCATATTGTAGGGTCCCATAATGCGTGTTGATGTTGAAATCTCAAAATCTATTTTTCGAAGCATTACATGACTTTCTACTGCATAATAACTCTCCGTGTACATATAAGAGAAATTTTAAAATGTTAAGAACATGTATTGCTGATAACATTAAAGACTGTCAGAATAAATAGCTGGGACACATGAAGGATAAAAAAAAAAGAATGAAATACTTCCAAAACTTGCTTTAAATTTCAAACCCACTGGTCTCAGAAAAATGTAGAGAACAGGAACACCTATAGGTATAAACCATGAGGTTTCAACTTACTGAACATAAACATTCTGCACTAACAGTTGATCGACCCATCCTGCAGTTCATGATGATGATGATGATGTAGTACCAATGGTCTGTTAACAGAATTTTTGTAGGTATGAACTATTCTCTCACATACTTTCAGCTTAAAGCTAACAGCCTGAATCTAACTCAACCTAAAAATTGTAAAGCTTAAACATTTTTTCAAACCCTCCACAAACTTTATTATTGTTTCTTAATGAAATCTGTTTTTCAAAATTAAATCTTTGATGAACACCATTTAGAATGTTTAGAATGTAATTCGACTTCCCACATTTACATTCTTAAATGTGCAAATACCAATTTTTAAGTGAATGTGACTAACAACTTAATAAAATGTAACTAACACCTTATTCGCATACTTACACACGAACAATCGCCTCTTAATGTATACATAGATGTTAAACACAACAAAATCTACAAAACGTTAGAACAATTGCAGAAGTAGAAGTGAGCACAATTAGACTGACTTTTGGGAGTTTTAATCTCTTCAAAAATTAGGGGACAAATATGGAATTTTTAAGCAAATTTGGGGATGAATGAAATGTGGTTGTGGAAGATATTGCGATAGAATTTTTGGAATTAATTGTGAATGATCTTATGAAGGCCAGTTTACAGATGTTTTTTGTGCGTGTTAGCAAATAATATAAAATATGTAGCGGCACTAAATTCTAACTATTCAGCATCATTCGTACCAGCAATTGTTTTTACGGCATTTATAATTTCGAAATAGCAATATTACCAGTTTTTATCCTTTATGGAAGTAACATACAAGGCTATAGGGTGTTGGGAATTTTTGAACAGAAGTAAAACATTATTAGCTACTATGATTCATTCTTATATCCAATGCTAAAAACAGGTAATGCAGGCTTACAATTCACACCCTTCAGTGCCTCTTGCACAGTTGGAACTCTGTCTCACACTGTTCGAAGGCCCTAATAGTTGCCTAGTTACATGAGAATTTTTTTTCGGGCACGGCATGGCACCAGTGGCTAATGAATGAATTGCTTTTCTGTGTGACATGGGGGGTGTCACCAGTCATTGGGTCTGTGGCATTCTACACCTGTCACCTAGGAAAGGCCCCATTCCTGGTCCGCTATCTTCACGTCAGGAGAAACTTCTTCGATTATGATCTTTGGCAATGATATTTTTTCTGGTGTTGGGGGATTTGTGGCACTGAGGTGATATATTCTTTTCCAGGACTTCTTATTTCCTATGTTCACTATAGCAGAGGTCCAGGTTCACTATAACCAAATCTTCTTATGCTTGTTTGTAATGTAAGTTTCTTAAAACAATAATAATTTCAACATTAATGATCATGAACTGGAGACACTTTTGGAGTGTGTAATGTGTGATCCTTGACAAGTTGTGTTGCAAGTGTGGTTTGTGTAGGACAGCTTTGGCTTGTGGAGTGAACTTATTCATCTTTTCAAATTATAAAGTCAATGTTGTTTCTGTAAATGTTTAATGCAAATTTTAATTAAATTCTATTGAATGTTGGTAAATTATGAATGATGAATGTTGCTTTTGAATAAGTTAAATGTTAATCTCCCTCGTATGCCAATCCAGATCAGTGTGCACAAATATGAAAATAGTTTAACTGTTAAACTTGCTTATCTGATATATTCTTTTAATGATTTTTAGGTTGATGTACAGGATGGTGAACTTAATGATCTTCTTGATGATATGGTTCAGATTCGCCCTAGAACATCACGATTACTTCCACGAACACGTCAAAGTGAACGTGTGCGTGCAACCCTTAGATCACTTCATCAAGAATTTCTACATGGGACCCATGAACCTGCCTTGCAGGTACTGTATGATAATGGCAATATAGAGGTTGGATATTCCTACTGGAGTGACTCAGATTAACAACTTCAGACTTTATTTTGAACTTCATTTAATTTTCTTCCTTTTGATCCCGTCTATGGAAGAGTTTTAATAGTTTCTCAGTTGTAAATGATCATATGCACTGTTATTTAGTAATTATTTAATAAAATGTGTTCTTCACACATATTTGTGCCTTGGAACCAAATGTGATTCTCTTAAGTTAACCTGTTTTTGTTTCAAACAAAAAGTTCAGTGTTCCTGAATTTTTTGTGACAGAATAAGTACATTTATCCTAGAAATTTGTTTAATTTATACTTTTCCTTCAGCATATTCATCCTGAATGTGAAAAATTGTAATAAATTAAGAACGTGATACAAATAAAGAATAATTTATATTTGCTCCTAGAATAAATAGCTTCTGCATTTCTTGAAATTGTTTGTCATTGTCTTGGCTTTCAACTTGTTGTTTAATATTTGTGTGTGTGCATGTGTGAAGAATCATGTGATTCAAGTCAAATTTAATTTTGTTATTCCATGACGGAAATGAAAGATATGTTGGGCAGAGCAAGAATTTTCTATCAAAATGTATTATTTGTAATATGGAGTTGATGGAAAAAGAACAAAGATTAAAGTTTTGAAAGGTGATGAAAATTTAGAATTATGGAAATCATTTTATGGAAATAGAAGAAATGGAAAATAGCGGAAATGGAAGAATTAAGAAAATCATTTTAATTTCATTGAAGTGAAATAAAACTTTAAGAAGTAATTTTAAACTTAGGAGTCCATATGCAAGTAGTGTTTTGAAAGTAAGCAAAATGTTAGGCTTATTGGTTATGTCTTGTGAGGAAGTGTGTCTGCAGAAGACAGCAAGGTGAATGATCAAGAACTTTCACCATCTGAACAAATTCAAGTATTAAAATTGCATATTCTAGCAGGTTAAATTGTTTAGGCCAAAGTTCTTCTCACAAAGGCATTTTTATTATTATATATTATTTGAATTTAATTCTTGAATTCATCAGGTTGATAGATTGGAAATGATTGTTCCCTAAATGTTCACTTACAAATTTTAAAACAACAGAAAAAAAAAGTGTAATTGGGTGGAATACGTAGAAAATATGTGGATAACTTATTTCTGTAGAAGATTGAAGAGAGATCTGTATTGGTTGGATAGTTCTAGAAGTGACATATTATAACACAATAACTTGCTTCAGGATGAATTTTTAACCTGTCACTTTTCTGCGATTCAATTATATGGTTACATGTTACTTTCATACTGCTTAATTTCCTTACATCTTTTTTAAATAAATTGACTTTAACAAACATTTGCAGCAATTACTGTTCAAAATCATTAGTATTTTCTTCAGGTTTATGCAACACCCAATTGGCTTTTCATCTAATTAAAGTCTCATTTAGACTCTACATTGTATAAATAATGTTTTGTGAAATGCATGTATCAACACAATTTTTGTGTTTGTACATATGTCTGTATGTATCTATTTGTATTCTGTGGTGTGTGTATGCATAGAAGAGAAGAAGTAGTAAAAACTTTAACTTTTGAGTGTTGATATTCATTACTTTATTAGTACAGTAATCTGTGGTAAGTTCAAGTTCAGGTATCCCACATACATTTAGTTCGTTATTTGTTCAGTGTTTGCTTTTATAAGTATTTGTTCGTGGAGTGTAAGTATACGGAAATAGAAAAGAAAAAAAAACATCTAATGTACCCTAATTTTGCAGTTAAATTTGGATGCATGGGTTTTGTATGTCAGTGATTAATTATAACATTGAAATAGTAGGTAGTGTAGTTAATGTCATTGATGTAATGGTTCTTCATCTGGAAGAGGAATGTACAAGATTCTCATGAGTGATAGGTAAGCGGTTGTTAATGGATACATTTTATTGTCTTCAGTTACAAACTGCTAGAGGTTTGTTTTTAATTCCTTCTCTTTTATGGCATTTTAATTATTTTACAGTGATTTGCCAGTTTAATATATTGTGGGTGTGGTCTGTAAATATTGAGATGCTAATCTTCCAAGATTGTCTTAATAATTTATACTTCATGAATTAGAAATTGAATTATAAAATAGTAATATCTTACTACTATGCAAAACTATTACTACTATTGCAGAATACAATATTCTTTACCAAAGATTAATTTTGTAGGCCAAAAGTATATTTTATTTTCGTGTCTTTTTACTGCTTTAAATATTTATAACAAATAAATGCTTGTGTGACATTTGCAGGAAGTAGCCAAGAACAAGTTTGAGTGTCTGAATGGGAAAGAAAGGAATTTGTCAATATATTTTGAATTTTTTCTTTTTAAATTTTGAGTTGTCTATTTATGAATGTTTCTTGATATTTTTCTGAACCACCTCATGATTTTTTCAGGCATCAGGGTATTGTCATTTCTGTATAATTACTGACTTTTACTTGTGACAGTTGATGTCAATTGTCAATAAGGTTCAAGTTAAATTGATTTTGAAAAAAATATTTTATTAATGTTATTTTTCAGATAGTTCTGTTTTAATTATGGAACAGTGTTCTTCAATCTATATGGCTGATTTTAATTTTGTAGGATAACAAAATATCTTTATCAGTTTTTGTCTTGGCGGAGTTTGATCTTTTGCTCTTGAGGAACACTGATCCAGAAGGGAGGAACACACCATTACTTAAATTGTATTGTGTGTATTGCTGTGAATTTGTTATTGCATTATTTGTTTAGCAGCCTTCCACATCTGGAATAGAGTCTGTGGGTGCAGATAGCAGCAGTGTTGCTAGTGGTGCACGTGTTACTTCTGCTGCATCTGCATCTACAGTAAGGAGACGTAAAGTTGTCAGAAGAAAAACTGTAAAGAAGCGAAGGAAAAGGCGCACAACTAAAAGAACAACTAAAAGAAAGCCTGTGCGAAGAAAGAAAAAAGTTACAAAAAAAGTTGCAGTCAAAGGATCTGGTGATGAAGAAACTGAGGAAATTGAGGAATATGTTACTAAAACTAAAAGGAGGAAAAGGAGAAAGAGGAAAATACGCCGTAGAAAGAAGGTAAGGTATTTTTTCCTCCACATAGGATTGAAAATACTGGTAGTTCTTATTTTTAATAAATATCTTTGTATTTGTCCAAGGTCTCTCGTAGAAAAACTGCCAGGACTGCTGTTCCTCGATCAGTAAAAGGGCGACTTGCAGAGCAGTTAGGTTTGTGTGCTCCTTCACGACCAGGAATGTCTCTGCCTGTCATTCGTTCTAGAGTTACTGCTTCAGATATTGATTTACAAAGAAGTAGGGCTGGAATCCCTACACTACACATATATGGTCCACAAAATGAACTGGATTATTTCTCGTATGTATTGCATAAATATCACCATTTCATGATGTAGTACTATTTGTTTTTTTTGTTCAAGAGAATTAGTTGGAAAATTTTCTTCTAGGTCTGACAATGAGGATGTAATGGAGAGTGGCAGTCTTGCAGTTGCTGCTCGACCACGAAATGCCCGTGTTGGAAGTGCAAGGTTAATTGCACGGAAAAAACTATCAGCAGCAGCTTTGCAGTCTCACACAGCTGTAATTTCTCCCAAACCAGTCCGTAATAGAGTGAATGTGGAAGGAAATGCTGTTGCTTCCTCCAGTTCTCCAGTGGATCTTATTGGAAGCATCTTAGATAGCCAAGCTATTTGGCATTCAAAGAAATCATCAGTGACTATTAAGCCTGATGGTTCATTGGAAGTGAACAAGGATCTTGGCGGAACTGCAGTGGCAAATACGCAAGGTACTGTTGAGTGTGATAGTGTTTCAAACAAGAATAAATCAAATGACAGTTTGATACGCAGTGATGACAGACTTTCAGAAGTGAATGGTTCAAGCACTTCTCCTATTGACTTAGGCAGTGCATCAGCACGGACAACCCAGGCTCCCATGTATCCTGGGAGAGGTGATAACCATAATAGACCTCCACCTAGTTCAGGCTTCCATCAATTTGGAGGAAGTAGATACAGTGCTCCTTCATATTCAAATTATCAGAGTGGTAGAGATTTTTCAAATTTTTCCTCTTCTTCATCAAATTTTGATGCTAGTAGCACTCGAGCTGGATACAGCAATTACCTTAATAGTGGATTGCCACCAGCACCTCTACGCAACACACCTGTGAGGTTTCGTGTTACACCTCGCTACCCAATTCGGAGACCTCAAGGGCCTCAAAGGCCGCAAGACTCTTCAAAGCATGATGATAAAAGGCCTGAAGATGATGGAGAGGGATGTCAGAAAACTCTGGAAGAGGAAGAAGATGATGAAATTGATATTTACAGTGACATTGAAGCTGGTGGTGGAGGCAGTGGTGGCCCTAGTGGAGGAGGTTCAGAATTAGATGAAACAGAACGAAGCATGGAAACAAGTTATGAAGCTTTACCTCCTCCTCCAGAACCTTCTGCTCTTTTAATGGGATTTGGTGAGCAAGCTTTGAGTGAAGAAGAACCTACAAGTGACAGCGAACTAGTTATAGATGACAATGTAGGTCCTCCTTCTCCCCATGATCAAAATGAAACCTCCCCTCAGATTCCAGAATCAGAAAAGTATGATCCTGCGGAGCCCCTTGCTGATAGTGACGAGGACAACGATGATGATGACAAGGGTGAACCAGAGACCACTGTTCCTGTTCGAAATGAGGTCCCAGATCAAGACATTCCTCTTCCTCCTGCTCCACCAGCATCAATTCCATTTCAGTCCAGTACAAATATTTCACAGCATATCATCAACTCTTCATCCAATTCCAATGCTAGTTATCTTCATTCTCCAACTTACGGTGAAACTTCTTTTGAAACTGACAAAATATCAGCAGTTACTGATGAAGGTGTTGTCAATAAAGTAGTCAAAGAAGTGATTTCAGAAAGACTTAAAAATGCATCTGGAATTATTGGTGTTAGTGTAGTGCGTGGTTCTCCCACACATCCAGAGGTAGGCAGAGAGGATGAGGAAGATGAATGTCCAAATTTTTCAATTTACTCTGCTACAAGTATGGATATAGCAAGGAGGGCAGGGGAAGAAACCATTGATGTAGATTCTAAGATAGGCGATGAAAAAATATGTGAGACTTCAGAAAATGAATCGAAAGAGGAAAGAGAAATGGAAGATACAGAAAATGACAGAAAATCGGATAAAATTATCACTGAATCAGAAGACAAGTCCAAATCACTTCCAGAAGATGGTTCTCCTTCTGCGTCACCTGATATAAAACAAGCAGCTGAAATTACTGTCCTTAAAGATGGCAGTGAAGAAAAGGAAGAAGAAGATGCAGATGCAAAGAAAGAATTGAGTGAAGAGGAGGAGGAGGAAACTCGTAAAGTTGACAGCAAAGATAAAGATGATGAAGAGGAGGATGACGACGATGATGATGACGATGATGACGACGACGATGATGATGATAAGGATAAGAATGATGATAAGAATGATACTAGTGATGAATTTGTCAAAGCAGACCAGGTTGGCAAAAATGAACAGCCTGTTCAGAAATTGAAGAAAAATGAAAGTGATAGTAGCATAGAAGATTTATCACCTGGAAAGATAGTTTCTGATGCAGAAGATAAGGAAGAGCACAATGCTACAAATGCGGAAATTTGTAACGAGAAAGAAGAGGAAGAGATGGAAGAGGATGAAAAAGAAAAGTCTTTAACTCCCACTAAAGAACTTGACAGCACTATCGAAGAAATTTCTTGCAGGCCTCGTACAAATGATACTTTTGATTCTGATAATGATAGTGTTATTGGGGATGTACCATCTGCAGTTTCAGTAGTGGTCAGAAATAAAGATCCCCCAGCTATGTCAGCACCATCTGGTCTTGAAGGTCTTGATACAGAAACTATTTCAGAAACTGAAGAAGCTATTAATTTTGATGACCTCAGTCAAGATGGAAATGACATTCCTTCTGCAGAAGAAGATGGAGAGATTTCTTCAGCCAAAAAGAGAAAGAAGAAAAAGAACCGTAGAAATTTGGATGTGGATGGCAAAATGCTAAGTGATTTAAGTGGTGAACTTCCTGCTGATAGAGAACAAACACCACCTGAAGAAGGGGAAATAATTGATGACAGACCGAAACTCCATGACACCAGCAAAAGAGACAAGATATCTGTGGAGAACAAGGATGTTTCACATGATTTGGAAACCTCAAAGGTATCTGATGAGAATTTTGATATTTCTAAATCGAAAGATGATGATAAAAAGAAAAAGAAGAAAGAGAAAAGGAAATCAACTGAAAAAGGAGTAGAAAGGCCGGTATTAGGAAGCAGTGAGAATAGGAGAAAGAGTAAAGAGAAGTCTCGCAGATCTGAAGAACCTAACATTTCATGGAAGAAACCATCTAAAAGTACTAAAGAAAGAAATTATCGGGATACAAAAACATCAAAACCTGATGATACTGGAAAAGACAAAGATAAAGATAATGATAGTAAGGACACAAATAAGAAGAAGAAAAAGGAAAAAAGGAAAGATATGGAAAGATATGATGTAAGAAAAATTGTATCTGATAAGCGTCGAAGACGTAAAGATGAATTTGGTCGTGATCTATCTAGAGATCGATCATGTAGCAGATCTCGGTCTAGATCTCATCGTAGATCTCGTTCGTTATCAAAGAGTAGAAGACATAGATCCCCTGTGAGAGCCAGGAGATCACGAAGTCGGTCTCGATATCGATCACGAAGTCGCTCGTATCGAAGGTCACGGAGTAAATCAAAAAATAGGTCTAGGAGGAAATCGAAAGATAAAGGCCGTAGAAGTAGATCAAAAGATAGAACAAGAGTTCGTTTAAGTCGGTCACGAAGTAGAGGAAGAAGATCCAGATCTCGATCGGGTTCTCATAACAGATCCAAGAATAAAGCTAGATTGAGATCACGTAGCCGCTCACCAGTTAAACAGCGCAAAGATAGAGCTGATAGATCTCATGTTGTTCGAGAAGTGCAAAGATTCCACACTCGACGTTCATGGTCGCGAACATGGACTCCATCATGGTCAAGATCTCGTTCTCAATCTATATCGTGTTCTTCATTTACTCAAAGTAGATCACCCTCAGTTAGACATTTCAACAGATCATTTTCACACTCTTTTTCACGTTCATGGTCTCGTGAGAGATATGAAAGAATTCCTCTTGAGAAGACAGGTACTCTATCAGGAAAACCTACTAAAAAGCTTACGGTAATTGTTAGCAACACTAAAGAAAATTCTGATCGTCAAAAGAAAGATAAAAAGAAGAAGAAAGATAAGAAAAATAAGGAATTACTTGGAACAATGGAGAAACGAAAGAAGAGGAAAGAGAAGTCACCAGCTCCCTCTAAAGAAGTGTTTACATCGGGTGATAACATTCTTGTTAGTGTTAATTTCAATAAGACTTCGAAGTCTGGTACAAATAAAGATTTATCTGCTTCTCTGCCAGCACTATCAAAGGAGGCATCCAAAAGAAAACGAGAAGAAACATTTGAAACCGATAGAGAAATTAGCAAGAAAATCAGAAAAGAGAAAAATAAAGAAAAAAATAAGGGTATTCCAAATGAGAAGAATGCTGTTGGATTGCAAGTGGAAAAGAAAGGTAAAAAACAGGGTGCAAGAGGTAATAAATCAGCGAGAATGGCTGCTCTTTTAAAACAAAAGCCAGTGGCAATAATTGATCTTGATCAGTCACCTTTCCGAGAACAGACTCCCTCACCTAGAGATTTGATTGTATTAAGTGACAGTGATGATGATGATGTGAGAAACAAAGGTGTGGAACGTGAAGAAATTGTTGAAGCTCTTTCAGTTTGTCGGAATTTACGTCCTGATATTTCTAGCCCACAATCCCCTGCTAAAGGTGTTCATAATGTACCAGCTAACATTTCTGTTGCTAGGTCTCCAGAAACAGAATTGAAACTTATGAGTGCAGTTAGTAATTATTTGACCACTAGTACTGGTCCCAAAACTCCTCCCGAACCACAAATAAAGTTTTCAATTGCAACTAAACAACCCCAGTTACGTGTTATCACCAATCCTCTTCAAGAGGATGATGATATATTGCCAGAGGATGGAGGCCTTGATGATTCCGATCAGAGAATTGAAGAGGAATTGGACAGAAGTTTAGGAGAAATAGTATATAAAGGCCCAAATACTCCTCCTGAACCTAGAGGTCCCACTACCCCATGTTCTCCGCCTACATCTCCTGATGCATATGATCCATTTGATCCCACTAAGTCTGGGACACCTTCCCCAGCTGGGCCTGAAGCTAGTATGGATGGTCCACCCAGCCCTCCTCGAACTCCTGCTGATGACTTGCAAATGGGAATTGTTGAAGGATCAGCTGGGCGTGACTCACCTTTACCTAGTGACTTGGAAGACATGGTTAATAAAAATGCTGAAGCAAGAAACAAGTCTCCTCCTATGCAACCTTCTGAAGAAGTTACTGAAGAAGCTCGATCATCCCCAAAAGTTGTTACAAGAGAGACAAAATCTCCTGTTGGGATATCTGAAACAATAGCTTTGACTCCTCAGCTTCAAAATGAAGAACTGCCTGTTGCAGAAATAACTGATGTTTCAAAAGTATCTCATGGTCTTCCTTCTAACATATCTTCAGTGTCTATTTCTGAAAGCAATACAAAGTCCCCTGAAAGAAAAATTGGTGTAGTTATAAGCACACCGCAATCAAAACTTCAGAGTACTCCTATCAAACCCCCTGTATTTCCTGTTCCATCCCTAAAGCAGGCTCCTACATCCCAACAGACCATGACATCAACTCCTAGCCATGCTGCACCTCCCCCAATATTTCCTTCTCTTACCCCTGTGAATATTGCATCTATGCTTTGTACTCCTACTGCAAATTTAGCTCTAAGTCGAACAAACCTTTTCACCCCACAAACTCCAATGTCTGTCCCATCCCTTCTTCAGCATGTTTCTAATGCTGCTACACCTGTTCAGGCTCGATTAGCTACTGATAAATCAGTGGTTCCTGCTGTGCCTATTCGATCTTTGGTTCAGAATGGTGAACAATTGCCAAAGCCTCAGGACACAACAACAGAAGTAGTGGATATGGATTTGGATTCTCCATATTCTCCAGGATCCAGTGAAGGCGATGATCTATTTGATCCTCCTGCTGATACTCCCACCAGAACAAGCCAACCTCCACACACAACAGATCGCCCTAAAACGGGGCCATCAACTGCCAAGAATGCAAACAAGCTTGCGGTACCTGCATCAAATTTACCGTCTCATAAGTCTCCAAGCAAGAATCAAGACAAATTTGATTCTCTATTTGGCATGGCTGGTGCCCCTACAAAGCCACCTGGGTCTGCTCCATCCAAAGGGCGAACGAAGGGTCACAAAGGAACAAAAGCAAAGACAAAACACGTAAAAGGTGTGTTAAGTTTTAATCTGAAATATATTTTATAAAGTTGTAAATTTGGTATTACTCCTTGTCTGGTTGTAGAAATAATTTCTAGTAAATTTTTGTATTTTTTATTTTAATTTTTTAATTTTGATAGTTCTTTCTGATTAATTTATGTTGTGATTTTCCCTATCAATGTAAATTATTAAGTCGGGCAGTTGTCTTGTGTCTTAAGCAAATGGCAGTTTGTTCATGATAGAACTTATTTCAAAGTTGCAATTTCATGGATTAGAAGTTCGGCAATATTGGAAAAGATAAGTGAATTGGACCTACAAATTACTACTCTTGAAGTGATAAACGTTATGCTGAATATTGATAACAAAATGGCAGTACAAAAATGTTTTGATTATCACATGGGTGTTGCAAGTGGCATTTCCATATGTAACAAAAGTGTGATTTAATTGCCCCATGGAAGTCATTCATCTATATAAAGAATTTCACATAAATAATGGAAATTCCTTGTTGCTGAAAAGACATAAATGTACTAATAACATATGTAAATTAGAACCTTCAGTAATTCTTACTTGTCCAACCATCTCAATTTATTGATGAATTATGGCAATCATCTCCAGAAAATATTTATTCTTATTTTGATGACTAGCAACTTTTTTGTTTTATAGCTATTTTGTATCAATGTGAATAATATATTGAGCTTTCTGTCCGACAATGGGCTAAAATACTATTCTTTTCAATACGAAAATATGATGTATGACGTTTGTGTTGAATTACCTTTTACCTCATAATACCCAGCAGGAGATATGCTATTCCATCTTGCATTTATATCTCACTATAGACCACTCGAGGGGCCATATTTTATATTAAAACAAGGGAATATGTAAGGTCACCAGGTTTGATAATGACATTGATTACCTAACTGAAACTGAAATGAGACTAATATGCAGTTGAATTGGATTGCTATGTAATTAGGCAATTGTTATGGATTTGAATAGTGGAAATATTTTTGTATTATTTTCCTTGTTTTTTAATAATGAAGATAAATGAGAATTACTTAATAAATATTTGCATATGTAGAGATCATGGTTTTTTGTGCATTTGCATTTTAATAGCAGCATTATTATGGTATTATGGTGGTATTACAGTATTATTATGGTATTGAAAGTTTCGTATTTTGTATAAGTGGGATGGATGGGATAAGAAAAATTAGTAACACTCCTAAGAGACTAATAAATGAAAATGGTATACTTTGATGTATGAAATAAAAGTATGCTTGCCATGCAAGTTTTCAAAATTGGTTCTCCCTAAGAAAGTAAATTGAATTAGCATTTAAGTAATGCTGAATTAGACATTCCCTTTCCATTTGTTACAAAAATGGCAGTAGCATAACACACTTTCTTTAAATATGAAAGTAAGGATGCACTTTTTGAGTGCATCCGAGTTGCTTTATCTGTCACAAGACAGATAAGTTTGGGGAAGTGGTTGCCGACCTTCACTAATGGAGAAAGCACAACAAGAAAAGAATAAGAATATTTATATTTATTAAATATACCATTTCTTCCGATTCATCCTTTCTAAAGAAAACTGATTGTGCTTTTAGTTTCAGTGCTGAAAAATTTCTCTTCTGCTTGTTGACAATCGAGTGTCATGTCCAGTATTAAAATTAATTCAAAATTGCTATAAATTAAGTTTGTTTTTCTTTTGAAGTGTACATAGTACAAAAAAACTGCTGTTCAAGTTTTACCTTAATGTATTTAATTCCTTTTTTATATTTGATGTTCATGAACTTTATTACATTATTTTTAATCAATTGTTGGAAGATTGTAAGATGTACTTCAATTGAATCTTACTCCTTACTTTATTAGCTTCCTGATAATTTAAAGAAAGGTGACCTTCAGTCATTTTATCTTTCAAATACTGAAAATGTTAGTTAAAGAAAAGGTAAAGATGTGAAGTTATTTATGGAAGACATAAAATGAATGATTAATATAATTTTTTGATCAAAGAAAAGATGCAAACCTCCAAGCATATTTTCATTAACAAGTAAGTTTCTTTCCAGTATATTCTAAGAAGTCCAAGTGCTATTGTTATTTTAGACAGGAAATTCATCAAATTATGGAATCTTTTTTGGCACTTCAGGTCCCAAAGTCCAGGAATAAAATTAATTCTGAACATACAGTATGCATATACAGATATGAAAATTATGGACTTAATGAAGTTGAAACTTTTGTCGGTGACTTTTCTTTCATTCATAAATACAGAGTAATATAGAATATTTGAAAGATAATATATATACATATGTAGTGTTTAAAAGTTATATAATGCTGTAAAATATCATTATAAACATTTTGTCAGAAATCTGTGATTCATGGATTCTTGATACCAAAAAATGATTTGTTTTTACAAAACTGTCCATCTGACTGTGTACAATACAAGCACTTCTGAAGTTCAATCTGAATGCTTTTCCCTACCATAAATATTTACCAATTTCTGAACTCGAGAACCTGCCAATTGGAAATGGATCTTTTATTTTTTGGGGCTATCTCATAGAACATTGTCAAAAGTTTTCCGAAAATGGTTAATTTTTTTTTCTGAACAATTTTGTGCTCCAGTAGAGCAATATAGACATGTAAATATGGTGTAAGACTGATATTCATTAAAATCTCTGAATATTTGAATACTGAAAATTCTACTGGTTTTTGGACCTATCTTATACCTTTAATATTGGAGCTTGAAATTTATTTCTAATTGCTATCTATTTTTCATTGTTAGACAATTTTTTCAATCATTCCTCAGTATTTGACAGACATGCACAATGTTTTCAAATTAGTTATAGCTTTTGAATAATTGTGATTGAAATCGTAAACACTTTTTTGTAACAGTGGAGCACAGTATATTGAAATCAATAGCATAAGTCTCATATTTATTAAAACTTTCAAATTTTCAAGAATTAAATGTTTGTAAATTTTATGGGCGTATCTCAGACTTGACTGCCCTACCATTATGGTGATATAGGGGTTACCGCATTGAACTCATAAACTTAAATGCTCGAATTCTAATCAAATCCCATTTGAGGATTGAGAACATATGCAAAGACATGTTAGGTGATTCATGTGATTTTCAAGTGAAGTAACACATCACTGGCCAAGAAAACAAAGCAATAGAGTTGAAATGTGAAATTTTCATTCTGGTGGAACTAGTGTGGTTGTGTTGCACCACAAGTTTGAATTTAGTGACTTATGTGAATTTCAGTAAAATTGTTGGGGCAATAGGTGTTTAAGACAATGTAGGCCTGCCAATAAATGTAGGAATTACTCACATTAAATTAAACTTTGAAATCAGTAGTTTAAAGATTTTCATTTAGAGAACTGCCTGAGTTTGTCAACAAGAGCTGGAATCTTTTGAAAGCATGCTTCTTTTCTTCTTGTGAAAATGATTATGTTCTGTGATGTCCCTTCACAACTTAATGAATATCAGTTTGTGTTGTGGGGCAGACTGATCTTGAAATCATTATTTTATAATTGTGTATAACTTGTGACTATGATGAATTAATTGCATATTTTTGTTTCAGGAGGAAAAAAAGAAATAGCTATCAAAATGGATGAAGATCAGTTACAAATCTTGGATGAATTACCAAGTTCTGCTGTGGAATTGCAGGTGAAAGATAAGGTACCATCATCAAGACTTGTCACCTGCTTTTACCAAAACCTCCATTGTCCAATCAAATATTTTCCTTGCTTCTCTTTGCTCTTACAACTTGAATATAACTTCTTTATTTTTAATTAAAGAATACCCTTCAAAAAGTAAATTTCAAAACAGTTATGCTTAGAAGAAATCTTCTCTAATTATCTTTTCTGCACTATTAGCTTTACATTTTTTGAATTAATTCATTTTTGTAAAATTAAATCAACATGAATTGAAAGGGAAAATTCAGGAAAATTTCAACAATATTGATACATCTTATTAAATTACTTTTAAGTGACATTTTAACAAAATGCGCCAGCGAAATGTTTGGGTTCCTGTGCTTTATACCCATTGAATATTACAAAAAGTGACAAATCCCCAATTTATTTTGATTTATTCTGGATTTAAATTTCGTTGAGGTGAGAGTGAACTAGTATTTAAGGTTATTGCTATTTGTTTATAGTCGGTGATAACTTGGTGAAGGTAATCCTAGTTCTCCGTGCCACAAAATTGAAAACTTTATGTGTATTGTTTCTAGTACTTTTTATGTTGATTTGATAGAAAGGTAACCAGATGTGGCTATGAAAAAGATGGTAACACTTATGTTAAATATAGTTTTCAAAGATTGTGTATTTGAGAAGTCTGTGCTCATTCTTCTTACAAATCCTAACATTCTTGTAGATGTACAGAAGTATATTGAACATGATCATCATATTTCTATGTAAGATCAGACATGACTCTTAAATATTTTAATTGAGGGTGACAGCGCAATAGTGGCCTATCCCACATTTTTAGGAAATTGCGTTCTCTGTGTTCACATCTTAAACTCTCCCTAACTTCAAACGGTAACCAGTTTCAGCATGTTCCCACGCGATCAGTTTTCAAGTTATAATTACAAAAAGAACTATTTGCATCAGCTTACGCATTCATTTCTTGTAAATCTTCGGCGGATGCTGTTTACACAAAGATGTGTTAATCCACACAAATCTTACATAATATCATAATATGAAAACACTTACAAATGAGTGTTTAATTTTGCCAATAACTTCATCAGCTATTTTCTCCAAACACAGGATTTGGGGATAGGCCACTATTGCGCTGACACCCTCAATTTAGATACAGATTCTAATCTGGCATAAAACATTGAACTCGGTAGACCTGGTATATTTGCACTTTATGTAGCCATTCTTTTATGCATGTGTCACAGGAGTGTGGCATTGATGTGTGTCGCATAACACTGTGATATCAGCTGCGTCGATGCCTGAGCAAATGAGTCACTTAACTTGTGTCCTAGATTAATTTGGGATTTTAAGTGAAACTGCACAAGAGCTGTCGTGGCAACGTGCCCACAGCCGTGCATTGTGCCCACAGCTCAAGCTACAATAAGTCATGAAACTGTTTTCAACGCGCAATGGCCACTAGGCGGCGGGCATTGGCAAGAGCGCTCTAATGCCCTTTTGTGTAGGATACAATGTTAATCTACGATGCATGTGACATGTCTGCCGTCACATCCTGCAGTTTTATCCAATATTCTGAAATAGAAGTTGAAACCAGTTGGAACCACCTGCGTAGTGACGAAATTAAACATGCTGACTACTGAATTGAACATACACATTCTGTAGGTTCCTTTATGTTAACATACTACATGTTCTCACTTATTGGACACCTATGTCGTTTTGCACATTGTACGGTCTTAAAGGGACTTTCATTATAAACATATAACGGAGCAAACTATATATAAACGTACAATGCATAAGAAATAATTTAGCATGGGAAGTAAATGTATTTTTCCCTTATGTAAAAGTGAGAATCCTATAAACAGAGTTTCACTTTATTAGTTGTGAGAATCCTATTGTACTTTGCGATAAATATCATTTAGCTCTTGAATTATATTTCTCAACTACTGAAAGCTTCATCAAAATAGTATACAAAGATATTATTTTGGGTTTTGAGTCATCTGACCCTTTTGGTATAGGGAAATACTTAAATTGGATTAGCTTACTTATTTTATTGAACATTTTGTAGGGTGCGCCGTACAATATTTTTTTATCATGGTTTATAAACTTGTATTTAAATATGTTATGAAAAAATTATCCAAACCATCAAAATATCCCCCCTGGTATACTAACGAGCTAAAGAAATTGAGAGAAAAGGACTTTGCATAACTTATAAAATAATGAGAAATACTTCTTATTATGATAGTTCACAAATGTATGTAAAATTTGTTTTAAAAAAATGGAAGATTATAGAAAATATATTGTTGATATTGAAAATTCGATTAATCAAAGTCCGAAATCTTTCTGGAAATTTGCTAACTTTACTGGAGGTCTCACTGGTCTACCAAACATGATGAGTTTTCAAAATTTAAATGCTCATACTGAGCAAGATAACATAAACCTTTTGCAAACTATTGGGAATCTGGGTATGTTGATAATGTTTGAAAATCAGTGCATTGGAAATGACACTATTGGCAACCTGAGTGGTATGGACATTTCAATTGACAATTTGAACAATAACTTAGTTTATTCTGCGATTTTAAGTTAAATTTCAAGAAAGGTATTGGACCTAATTTAATTTCACTAGTTTTCTTGAAGAAATTAATTTCTAAAATTACCCCTATTTTACATGCTTTATTTTGCAAAACCCTACAAGAAGAATCATTCCCACGTATCTGGAGGTCTAGTTTTATTATCCCTATCCACAAATCAGGTAGCCGTTCAGATATTTGTAACTGCAGACAAATCTCAATTCTAAGTACAATTCCCAAGCTTTTTGAATTTGGGATAAATGAAAATCTTTAAAATATTGTATCACGTATATTGTTAGATGAACAACATGGATTAAGGCACAAGTTATGTATCAATACTAACCTTTTATCTTCTCAACTTGTAGTTCTTGAGAACTTTATGATAAATGAGCAACAGATACTATTTATACTGACTTTTTAGAGGCTTTTGATACTGTTTGTCACCGTTTGTTAGTTGAACTTCAGTTAATTGTTATTTATGGTACTTTTCTTGCATGGATAAAAAACTATTTAACCAGCAGATTCACAAATAAATATAAATCATTCGTATCTTGAGCTATTTATTAAAAGCATGCATGCCACAAAGGTTACTTGACTTTTCTTATTATGTCTACTTTTCATCAATTATTTTGAAAATCACATACCATGTAAATTTTTATTATATGTAGATGATTTTAAATTATTTATGCATATTGAAACAATATCTGATTGAATACAGGAAAATATAGATTTGATGTTACAATGGTGCATCGAGAATTGTTTAGCCTTAAATATTGATAAATATAAAGTTATACACACACACGTCTATATGAGAAATCTGTTCCTATATATGGTGAAACCTATCATGTTTTATGGTTCATCAATCTCGTCACCTTGTTACTTAAACACAATATTTAAGTAACATACTTTGTTACTTAAATATAAAACAATTGAGTCAATCCAACATAACATTTCTTCAACATGTGGCATGGCAATTATCATTGGAATCCCCCAGATTAATGCCCATCTTTTCCAAAATAGCATATGAATCTAAGTTTATCATCACATATGAAATTAAATGATATATTGTTTGTGTTCAAACTAGTCAACAATGTTATAGATTGTCAGTTTTTAGTCTTCAACATGAATTTGTTAATCCCTACTAGAACTCGTAGACATTTATCCTATACATTATACTCCTAATTGTTCAACAAAGAAATGATTTAATGCTCCCTTATGGAGAACATATCAGAATGTAAATTCTATAAATGTACCAAACGTAGATACTGATTTTGACCTTTTCACAACTCCTATAATCTCTTTTGTACATTTAAACGAGACAAATTGTGAATTGATTTTGTTTAATTACCGATAGTTATTCTAGTTACATAATTTTGGGTGATTGCCTGCAAATCAATAATTATTGTAAATGTTCACACTTTTTATCCTTGGCCTTCACTTTTTCAACAAAGAGAATTATATAGTAAAACTCTCTTTTTTAAATTTTTCAGGGGGCTGATGAAAAAAGTTTAAAATGCAGGAAAGTGTAAAAAACAGGAAAGTTCACTGATAGGCTAGACAAGTACGTTTTTACTGCAGCGGTGGCTCTGTTTTCACTTTCTTGCCTTTCATAAGAAGAGAAAGTGTAATCGTTCGCCGGAAAATGTTGAATTTTGCTACAAAATCTCTTATTGGTGGGCCCTGGTTTTGAAAATGTGGATAAATTATATTCTTTATATAGAAAATTACTTCCTCTAATACATGCTGTAGCCTGAATCCATGTTTTACCGGTCCTTGAAACCACAAAATTGATTGATGGCAAAACGTCTGTTTGTCTCCTTGTGGTCAATGCTAGTGCTTAAACTGTCAGCCAATTTTCCCCAAAATTGATATTCCCCAAGTAATCTGAACAAAATCAAGGCTTTTGTGAGTTCTTAACATTCATGTGTAGTAATTTTCAAATTGACAAGATTTATCCACTTATCTGTATCAGAACAAGATTTTCTGTAGAAAAATCACTGGTTTTTACTGCAGTATTACATAACTTTCTCTGCCCTACATATAGGAGAAAGTAAAAAATAAACAAAAATTTAAGTAAAAGTCCGGAAGCACTATTAACATCAAGTTGTGAAATGCAGGAAGAGAACGCATTGCAACAGGAATTATTACAGGACTAATGAAAAAATACGCAAAAAGCAGGAAAGCCATGCAGCACAGTTTTCGATACAGATTTATACCCATCTTCAAACTAAAAATAATTATTTTATTGCAATACACTAAATAGTTAATGCTTCGAGTTATAGCAGCACAATATAACAATCAATGGGAGCTCGTGTTTAATGGTTCTTGTAACAATTATGATATATCTGGTGAGTTTCCAAATGTGTTGAGTAATATAGTAGATTTATAAACAAAATTATTCATTGTTTTGTAATAGAAGATAATTATTGTTTTAACATGTTGCAACATTTTATTATCAGAACAATTATTGCTAATAAACATAATGTTTTACAATTAAATATTTTAAATGTGTTAATGTATAATAACCTGTCTGTCAAAAAAAGTAAAGGCCAAGTATAAAAAGTATGGGGTAAAAAAAGTAAAAACGTTCTAAAATAGAATTGCCACTTTGATTGTGCATTCAATTTTATATTCAGTTTTCATCATAGAAGAGCATTCCATACTGTTTTGTATCCTCTGTTGAGAGTGGAATAAATAATGCGTCTTAAGATATTAATCGTATGCTATAAATGGTGTTGTGAGATGCGGATACTTCTCCCATATATATTGTGTATTTGCCCCAGCCTGTTGCCAATTTATCCGCCAATTCGGAGGACACTCCAGTTACAGAATCAATATCGTTGGTTCTCAATAATGGCAGGAACTAGCATTCTCAGATGTAGCAGTCTTGGCACAATGGTCTCTCACTGAGAATTATTGAAATTGGATGTCTTTTTGTCTGGATCTTGGTCACGCAAACATGCAAATGCAAATTGCATGTATATTTTATTAAAGAACTCTTTAAGAATCAGAAGCCGTGAACAAGAGTGAGACGAAAATCTGATGATTCAGAAGGGAAAGTTCATGGGTGGCGTCAATGAAAATAAACCAATTCAAAGTACAAACTTTTTCTTGGGAGCCTAAAAAGTTTGAAGGCAACATGTTATGTGAGAAGGACCAAAAAGAAAGTAAACAGATCAAAGTAAAGATGAAGACGATAGTGAAAAATCATGATTACAATGATTTTTAAAAACAAGAAAATTGTGATTGCTCTGCCAACATCCTCCTCAGCATGGCAATTTTGTAGACAATTTGCAATTTTGTTTTGACTAAATAGTAATAATTAGTGGAAAATTGTAAAAATTCTCTGGATGCCTGTTCATATGTAAAATAGTCATCTAATGTTCACATGTATGTGGTATTTATTAGTGAAACACATGAAAAGTAAAACATAATTAGTAATTGTTTACAGCTACATCATAAAACAAATATGGAAGCTAAAAGTATCGTTTTTGTAAAAACTATATTGGAACAAAATCTTGACCGTAATTATTATCAGTCCATCTTCCACCATTGAAGCAGTTAATGTACAATTTCTTACTCACTATTTTCTGTAACTGCCTTGGTGAGTCCACCACCTCTTGAATCTCCTTTGCAATTTAAATTGCATTTTCTTTTTGTAATCTTGTCTTTCTTCTTTTCTATTTTGACCCTTACTATGAATTTTATTTATTCCCTTTTGCTTCTAATAGAAACATCCCTTAAGAACCTATAAATAAGTTTTCCATTGTGCTCTGATTGTAAAGACCTTTTCGCTTTATTACCATTTCCTAATGATCTGATGGTGTGGCTTGCTCAGCGTTTTAATCTTAATTATTTCAAGATACTATTGTCTTCTTAATTGAAACAGTTCAGGAAATTGTTACTGCAGTGAAAAAATGTGTATTAACCATAATTCTTTTAATTGCAGTAGATTATTCTATGAGTAAATAATTTGTGTAAGATTTTTTTGTTAGCAATTTTTTGTACTTTATTGATATGTTCATTTTCCTGGAAATGGAAATGTGGTGTAAAACAATATTTTATGGGAAGTTTAATAGATAGAAAATGGTGAAGCATCATATACTATTCATATCCACCACATTATCTTGAACATCTTTAAAAAAATGGGCAATTCTAATCTTATAGACTGGTTAGTATTTTTTAATTGTTTCAAAACATCTCTGGGGTGGAAACAACTAATAAAGTGTCTGTAGCTCAAACATAAAACTCTTTTTGTACTAAAACTTAAAGCTACATAGCTATTAATTTTCAGAATGTATATTTTAAAATTTTTCACAAAAGTGAAGAAATTAATTTTTGAAAAAAATTAATAATAAGCCAGTACTTTATCGATTTTTTTGGATTGTCCTCTCCTTAATTTTTGTTATAATGGTATATTGATAAAGAACATGTTAACAGAGAATTCATTATACTTGTTTTATTTATTTATTTTTCATTTTCCTATATCTTTTTCTTTTTTTTTTTCCTTTTTCTTTCGATTTCTCATTAATTAATCCTCCATTTCTGTAGATAAATTAATTTTTTACAAGAAATTGTAATGTTTCATAATGTGTGTTTTGTTGTTGCAGTTTTTGAAAAAACTGAATCGCCAAGAACGTGTTGTGGAGGAGGTTAAATTGTCTTTGAAGCCTCATTACAATAGAAAGCACATCTCGAAAGAAGAGTATAAAGACATTTTACGGAAATCTGTGCCGAAGGTTAGTACGCAATGTAATTCCAATGTAAATTGGGGAAAATGAATAAGTGTCAAGAGAAAAAGAGAATATCTATCTGGACCTACCTCTTTGATAAATCTCTCATGTCATTAATATTATGGGTGGTTTTTATACATTGTTGCATTTGTATGTGCATGTGCTTTAAGTAATTTCTGATGAAGGTTCTCCAAAACTCAAAGCTTTTCTATAAAAATAAGCTTAAAATTGTACGTTTTCAGAAATAACTTCTCAAAAAGGGAGCCAATAAAAATTTACCTAAAGAACCATGTTTTAGTATCCTATATAGTAGTCATATTTCAGTTCTATTATGGGACAGAAAAATTGAACTGAAGAAGAAAAAATTGATATGAGACTATCTTCCCATTATAAATATTAGATAAAAGTTAACTAAACCATTGTATTAAGTGATAAGTATGGTAAATATTATGTTCTGCTTCATTATGGGTTATATTAATTATGAGAAAATTGTTCATTAGAAATGGCAAGGGAAATTTTCCATAATTGCTACGGAAGCAAATGGTGTCATAATCATTCCAATACAATCAATGCTTCAAAGCACATTTATGTCTGCATATGCAGAAAAACAAAAAATTGTCTGTCACTATTACTATTAATTCACATTAGATGAGATTGGCCACAGAGTTATTTTGACAGATACTAGTTGTTACAAATTTTAAAAAATAAAAACATAGAATCACATAGATTACCCAACACTTCAATAAAAAAAAGCATTAATTCTGGGCAGAGAATTGTTTACAGTAGGCAGAATTGTAATTTTGGCATTGGTATCTAATGGATGTACCCTAAAGTTAACCTTATTCAGAATCAATGGACAGTCCATACAACTAGTGATTTGATTGAGAAGGAAAAGTGAATCGACGAATTTCATCAATGATCATTTGTTATGGCCCACTTGTTTGTAATTATACATTGTTGAACATTATACAATCTTGAGTAAAAGTAGTAGTTTTTTGTTTCTTTTTGAATGGAGTAGTTCTTGCTCATTTTTGAGTTTACGGTTTCTTGGCATGAGCTTCACAGAATATCATCTTTGCCCAGAAGATTAGTTTTGCTTTTGGTGGTAATTCCTGGGAATTTTGTTTCAGATTTGTCACAATAAATCAGGTGAAATTAATCCTGTGAAGATTGCTACATTAGTTGAAGCATATGTGAAGAAAGTTCGCTACGAGAAGAAGAAAAGTGCAAATTCTAGTAGTGGCACAAATTCAGCTCCTGCGAAGGCCAAAGTGTGAGTATGATCAAACACTTAATAACACCTCAATTTTTTGAGGTAGTTACCTTTATTGTCTGGCACAATTTGTGTAAAGGGGTGTTAAAATGAAATAATAAATGTTACTTATTTTTTTTATCTCTATTTATGGTTTTGATGGTTTTACAGTTAATTTGGTCATATAAAATTGATTTTTATGCATAGTGTTCATTACTCCATTACAAATTACTTATTTCTGAATAACTTGGAATTCAGAGGGAAATAGGAATAGGAATTTTCCTTTCCAGTGGTAGCTGGTCTGTTAGTGCAACACTAGCTATTCTTCTCAACAAATAAAACAAGTTTCAAAATAAAGGATTTTTTTCTTTAATTCACTAATCACAATGGTGGTAAATAGCTTGACATTTGCAGAGATTGGCTTTGATTTTTCATGACATGTGCACATTAATCTGGAGTAGTCCAACATGTGCTGTGATGTGCTACTTTGAAAGAGCAAGCTTGCTGACAGCCAAAGAAAATATGTAACTCTCAACAGATAGTCACCTTATAGAGATGGAAAAATTGGACTTTAATATGTAAAACTGTTTACATTGTTATTTATTACAGTATATTTTTGTAATTGACACAAAATATATCAACACTGAATTATCAATAAAAAGCTTAATTACTACTTGAAATACAAAAATATTTTTATAAGTTAACTTTCAGGTGTAGTTATTATCAATTTTAGGTGGGTGTATTTTAGGAACAATCCTTCAAACTTGTATACTTGGAACAATTCTTCAAACAGATTTGTATTTCATTTTAGTGCCTAATTAAAAAAAATCTAAAATTGTTTAAATAAAATTTATTAATCACTGTAACATATTCTTGGGAGGGGGGTTAAAATGTGTTCCCAGGATGCTGGAAAAGCTTAAGCCACTTGTAACAGCACACTATTATTTTTTAGCACCAGCTGCCACTGCTTTCTTACTTCTTCCAATCTGTGTTGTCTTTCCTTCATTTCATTCTTTCCTTCAAATGTAGGAAGTGAATAGGAACTATTTTATTAATGGGGTAATATTTCAGAAATAATTATTACATTTTCTTGGTCATAAGTGTTAATTTATTGTTCCTTAGATTCCATGAAATGCCTGTTGATTTAATAAATAATCATATTTTGAATATTGTCATGTTTATTAAAATAGTGCTAAAAACAAAGTATTAAACAAAATATTTATCAATGCTAATATGATTTTCTGTGAATATTTCATAAGTAAGACAGTTTTGGTGATCTTGATTAGGGTTTTTCTGTCATTTTGTTTGTCCTAGGACTAAGACCACTAAGTGGAGCTGATCTCAAGTCCCGCTTCCTGGTGAGTTATTCATCTGACAATTTTCTTAATTTGAAATGGCTTTATTTGTGTATTGAATTAATTTCTATATTAATTTAGCATAAAAAAGATAAAAACTATGTTACTTACTATACAGGAAAAGTGCAATCTGTGCATTTTTTCTTGAGCTCTGGGATCCTTAACTTAGTGATATATTAAGTAGAATTATGAATACAGGAAGCAACAAGCATTTTTGACAACGATTGACTTATAAATTTCACTGCCATGTAATAAAAACTGTTGGCAAATTAGCTACAGGTTTTGGCTATTATCTCTTATAATGTTATTTGTGACGGAATCGACTTATAGCAATAAGTACATGGAGAATAATTATTAGAATAACTATTCCTCATTGAGCTCAAGAAAACATGCCTGAATTGGAATATAATGTAATAATTGTTTTATGTATTTAATTTTATTTCATATGTTATATGATATATTATTTGATGCAATGGTGTGCGGCTCAAATTAATTCGGCCCAGGTACCACAAAAATTTCAAAACAATTTGGCGTTCAATGGGTTAATTTTAAATCTCAAAGCTTCATGGTTGAATGCCAATGCAACTGGCCGAATTAATTTTAGCCGCACACCATTGCATCAAATAATATATCATATAACATATTAAATAAAATTAAATACATAAAACGATTATTATATTTGCTTACATAAATTGTTTATTTCAAGTTTTCAAGGTAATATTTCGACTACTTGTTTGTAATTAATTAATTTCTATGAAAAATTATTAAAAATGAAATGTTTGTACTTATTTTCAGTGTCATATTTTCAGTGTTTCAACTACTTGCAATATTTGTATCACTTTACGTGCCACCATTACCACCTGTTTCATCATTCCTCATCACAGTCAATCATAACATCAACACCCACTCAGCAAACTGTTCTGATTCCACAAATATTTCATTCCGAACGTGTAAAACCTATCAAATGTCAGTTTTGTGAGTGCAGTTTGACTAGGATAATTTTCACAAGTGATTTAATTTGCTCCTATGTCATCTCTGAAAAGTTGTTAGAACTGATGCAATTCATGTGTAAAATATGTGCAAATATTCAAATGAATTTTCTGATAATAAAAAAAATAAAAATAAAGTGAAGCCACCAAGAAGGTAAACAAATAGCACATAATCACCAAATATCAAAGAAGCCTGAATGGTCACTTTCATCGTGCATTCAACTTTCAATTGACTAACATTCAATATGACAGAAGAGAATCTGTGTAAATAATATTTCTTTAAATAGAAGCTTTAAACTGCATGATTCTTGAACTCTTGTAAAATAATTGAATTTTTTTCATGCAAACATTTATCAGTTTATGGAAAGACAAAACTTCAACATGAATTATTTGTGTGTAAAATTTACCAAACTGAGCCTCATCCCAATTATTTTTACAATACTAAAGGGTGAAAATAATTGATCACATTATGGGACCAAGAATAGATCTAGCACATCCCTTGCACTTTTGAAAGGACATTGATGAATGCTGTTATTGAGATAAAGTTGTGAATATAAACAACTGCTAACATGTGAGTGTGTGCTGTTGATTCTATTGGCCTTGCTTCTAAAAAGAAAGAAGTATTCATGTGATGATGTGAGGAGAAGAAGAAAAGACTTGAATATTAGAAATGTGTGGGTCATATTTCACATTGTTTGTGGGCATCTATCTGAAAATTCATATGATTAAAAAAATATAAGAAAATGTATGTGTAAAGGGGGTTTTGCCTAATGGCAATTATTAATTAAAAAAATGTAAAATTTTGCACTGCTGTTTTTATATGAATGGCCATCATTCTGTTGGTAATATGCAATAAGTTATTAGAAACAGTTTAAATTGCTGACCATTGCTTTTCATGTTTTTGAGCAAAAATTAATTATACGTTGTGCCAAACTTCTTTGTGCTTGACATTTGAGAGTTATGTAATGTTACCGATAGTGATTTCCTAGTGACATAATGCTGGTTAGCGGCAGCTTTTCCAGCGATGTAATACTTTAATCTGCCCAGAGGGTAATGTGTAATACCTTAATCTGCGTAAGCACTTCTGCCAAGTATTTATGAATCCCAACATTAAAATTTCACCTCATTAAAAAGTATGGAAACTATCCCTCATGAAAAAAATATAAAACATTGGTCTGAAATTGGTTTTCACAATAGATTGCTCGCAAAAGCTTATGGAATGCATATGTACATAGCAGTGATAGTTGAGTGACAACATGTTCAATGTGACCTTTGGCTGAAATGTCAAACACAAAGGTGTACAATGTATACTGTAGTTTTTCACCAGGAAAGGGAGAGCTCAATGATAAATTAGTTAGGAGTGTACAGAGTACTACATTACTGATTGCTTGCTGAGTAGTAGACAAAGAAAAGTTCATAACTGCATTGGTATTGATGGCAATGTTGAGTCTACACAGTAAGTTGGCCTGTGGTGGCTAGGAATTTTATTGATCTGGAAAGAGCAGAAATATCATGAAATGTGTAGAAGAATTTTTAGAATTTGGGAAATGTTTAGAGACAATTATAGAATTTTTCGTTATAAAATAAAATGTTTTTTCGACAGTTTTTATTTGTGCAGCAATCATGATGAATGAAAACATTTAATAAGAAAAATTAGATAACTACATTAACTTAAAAAATTGTCCGCATTGACTACAGATGCCAAGATGAGAAAACAAATGACCTCAAGCTGAGTTATAACTAACTCCCCAACCATCCATAATAAGGTTAAAATCTTTAAACAGATTATTGTTTGAATAAATATATATATACTGGAAATATGAGTGAGGTTTCAGAAAAAGTGGTGATTTGGAATGTTGTATTGAGAGAGACCTTTTTATGAAATTTATTTTCGTGTTTCTTCTTTTCATAATAGTTGGAAAGGACACTGTGAGGGATTCTTGATGACGTCTTTATCTTGTGCTTGCAGGTCAGGTGCCACTCAACCCGTCCTTTCCTTGGGCCCATAATGATCCTGTTTAGATCATAATCATGCATACATCCGAGATGTAGAAGAAAATGAACATTTTGTTTGAAAGTTTACAAACGAGTGACTTGTACAGGATTGAAAGTGTATATTTGTGATAGAAGTGAATTATATGTGAGCCATGATGTTTAAGTTGAAGTTGTGCATCATCCTTCATCTTTTCTTCTGGACTTTATTTACTCAAAACATCGTGAAAGGTAGGACCAAGTCTTAAGCTATTATTAGAGCATTTTTGTCTGCAATTTGCAATGTTTTGTAAGTGTTTAATATTATGTATCAGACATTTTTCGCAAAAAATTGTACAAATTATGGCTTCAGAATGTGATGGCTGACATTGTATGTACTATTATTAAGTAGTTGTGTAGTTTGATAATTAAGAATTCGTATAACAGTTTGAAATTGGAGGTGATTTGTGAATGAGCATAATCTGCAATGACAGGTTTACTCTGTTATAAATAATGTAATAGATGGTATACAGAATTTATCACAATTGTATTTATTATAATAAATAAAGCGTATTTCACATCGATGATATTTTCATGTATTTAGTTTTTAGCAGTCACTTCATGAAATAGAAAATGTAGGTGATAGGGTAAAATCAATGACAGAAATGCATCTGTGAAGGAAATGTGGATAAGTTACATCATTAGGGTCAATTGTTTAGAAGAAAAATGGTAATTCCTTTTAATGTCATTATTCAATATGCTTAAGTTTTGGAAATATTAGAAAGAAAGTCATAGTTCCTTTTTCTTTGGTTTGATGAATGTTTGTGATCTGTTTGCATTATTGAAGTCCTAACTGGCTGGTGAAATTAATTTGCAGTTTCTTGTGACTTAAGATCATTAATCGTTTCTCTGTCAGTGTTTAGTAACTTTTACATCAGTTGTGTCATGTTAAGAAATTAACTTGCAAGTACAAGTTCTGGATATATGGATACCTTCTGTTTGATTTCTCTTCAAACTTTTTTTTTTTTTCCACAGTCAGTTTACATGATTTTTTAATGT